TGTATGCTATGGTGGTGAACGCGTTAGCCCTCGGAAAGGGTAATAGACCGTTCGTTCCCCACCGCAGACACCTGCAGTCCGGAGTTTTACAAGTATATCAACACCATTGTGGTTGTATTGTGCACATTATTCCGCCATGAAAAGTTGTAGTTGGCAGGCCATGAAACATAGACTTGTGTGTATTCGGAAATGGTACGCTATGAAACATAGGTATTTCCCGCCACAAATGGTGATGGTGAGGCATATCGTTTTCCTAAAGGATATCTTATCTGTAAGTACGTGAAGTGTTCAGAACTTAAGTCAGAAATAGTAACTATTGGTATTGAGAGAAAAACTGATGCTTCTGCATATTCAACATGAACAGCAAAATTTGCTCGGTGTTGCGATTATTTTCTGAACAAACGGACATATCTTATCAAATTGTCAATAGACATCGACGAAGTACTTGTAAACAGACATCATGAAATTCATTGACGTGTAGAAAGTATTGAACGACCAGACTAGGATCCACTTACTCACACCAATGACGGCAAATTTTCATATAGCCTTGTTTCATAAAAGAAATTTGATTGAAGGTTGACACATTTCATGTGAAATAAATGTATGCTTTAGAAGAAAAACCACAATTTTCCTTAATATTCATAGAAATTATAACATTCAGGGATGTGAATCATCCTACGAAATTCCCCCGCTGCAAGCGCACTGTGCCTACGTATTGGGTGTATCAACCGCGTTCCCTGATGCAAGCTGTATATAAACTTTTAAATCGAACCATCCTAAATACTTCGAAACCGACCTTCCCTAAACCTCGGTGTGATTAATCAATATGTATTCTTTCTTGATAAGCTTACACGAGGTTGATAAATATATTTATTTTCGGCTAACGTTTCGACGTCTTCGTCTTCCTCAGAGCCGGTGATCCGAGTCGATGGTCCATGGTTGTTGTTCGCCTCGACGTTGCGTCTTCGCCTTCGTGTCGAGCCAGATCTTCCTCAGTGAGCCATCTTCTCGAATGAGGCATCCTCACTCAGTGATGCCCTTTTATACACGATGCTGATGGTGGATATATAATGACAATGTCCGGTGGTAATAACTTGTATTTCTTCCGGACATACATCACTGCGCACATCGTGCAGAGGTCGGTGTATTATCAGCTAGCACAAAGCGTAGTAATATTTCGAAACCGACCTTCCCTAAACCTCGGTGCGATTAATCAATATGTATTCTTTCTTGATAAGCTTACACGAGGTTGATAAATTGTCTATGCAACTTCTTAATAACTCGAAAAACCGACTTTCTATAAACCTCGGCTTAGATAGTTGATATATTTATTTATGTGATCCTATAAACTGATCTTCTTAAGCTGACGCGAGGTTGGTACAGATCTTCGTTGTCGTTGTTTTTGATGTTATTGATCGATGGCTGACTTTTCGGCGACTTCGCCTTCCTCAGAGCCGTGATGTTACGTGCGGGACCGGAGTCACATGAATAAATACATGCAACTTCTATTCTTTTTTCTTTAGCACAATCGTCGTCCGTGGTGAACTACCTAGAATGTGGTGACGTCCGATCGGCTAACACCAAAATCCAGAAATTGCTGCCACCTGTGAATGCAAATAAATGGTTGATGTCAGCAACTACACCACTGCCCATCGTTTGTGTGGTCTTCCAAGAGGGCGCTTGTATTCTCTTTAGCACATTCCACTGCTCTTTTCAACCATCTATCACACATTCTTCTTACTGCGCGAGCTGCTCATATGTGTTCTGATATCAGTGTATATTCTGCTGTATCTCGGAGGGATGGGATTCGAAGATTTGAGCAGCATATTCCGGTTAGATGTTGAGAGCCCCGGTTGAGCTTCACGAAACACCGTTCGACTGTATTTTGGGGAGCAGATTTCTTGACGTAATTAAACTATAAGCTAAAGTTTTTGCTGCGCTACGGACCGCTCAGGTGAACGCTGAAGCGATGTAATAAGCACGTAGGTTTAAGCCCTCTCAGTTGATGACTTCTTTAAGAAGACCGAATGTGGCCATAGTCGCGTTTTCGTTCTATCTAGTTCCTCATTCACGTTGTCCTTCATTTTCATTGAAGGTCCAAGGTATACGAATGAGGTTGCTTCAGTAATCAGACAAATTTCATCTTTAACTTATGAGCTGCCTACTTTTTAAATCAAACATATTCTTGTCCCACTTACAATTTTTGATCTGTCCACCTTTGATCTGCTTCTGACTTTTGACCTAACCATAAGTTTTGACCATTTTTCTTTTTTTCTTCCATTTTTCTATTTTTTTATCTGCCTACTTTTTATCTAAACGTCTTCTTGACGTGCTCCTAATTCTTGATCTATCCGTTTGCGCGCGGGTGTGTGGGTGTGGGTGCGTACGTAGGTGTGTGGGTGTATTTGGGTGTGTGTGTTGGTGTGGTTTGTACTTATGTATGTATGTATGTATGTATGTATGTGTGTGCGTTTATGAATGTATGTGTGTATGTGGGCGTGTGCGTGTGTGTTTGTATAGTGTACCTGTATGATCTGTGTGTGTATCTTTGTGTGCATGTGTATATATCTGCGTGATCTGTGTGTATGTCTGTATGTGTATCTGTGTGATCTTATGATTCTTGATCTATCCACTTTTGATCTAGTTGTGTTCTTCGATCTACCCATATTTTTTTACCCATTCTTCTAATTTTTGATCCAACCAATTTTTTTGATCTAAACGTACTTTTGGCCCACTTGCAAATTTTGATCTACCCACTTTCGACCTATTTATATCTTTTGATCAGCACATAATTGTTGGGATTACTCTACGCCGAAATTCGTTGCGTACTGTTCAACAAAACATTGGCCCTGCTTGACATCATCAGAAACGGTTTTGGCTTTTAACTGCTTTTGCAATGTCCTGTTTACAAACGAAAGAATCTAGTACTTAGAAATCAGGTTGAAGAATAGATGCTTCTTTGTATCTGACTAACGTAACGATACTAATAGTTGGCTTGCTGGCGGTGAGCCTGTTGAATAGTATTGTAATTGAAATGAAGGAATAGTATAACTGGGAAGCAATAGTAGCTGGAGACCATGGGACATTCACTACCCTTTACTGAGCAACACTTGAAGGAAACGTAAGTGTAATTGTGGACAGAGTTACCAAATATCGAGAATTAGCTTTTGCCGGCCACCTGTTATCTATTGACCCTTTTGAGCTTTGGCCTCAACTTTCTCACCCTGGGCATCCAGCACGGTCATAACCACTGGGAATCGACAGAATTTCCCTTGAGACTATCTTTTCTCCAAGCGCCTGATCGCTGTTACATCTGAGCTCTAATGGTAATTGAAATGGAGGCAATCACCCCGTGATCGCAAATTTCTAATACCGGATTCAGACCTAGTCTACAGACAAGGGACAAGGACACACTTGCTTTTTATTTGTCGCCACGAAGTCGAAATGGTTGAAATGAACCTATTTTTTGTATCCGACAATACGCAAAGCTCGTTTTTACCCGTTAATCACACAGAGTGCCAATCCTTTCCCTCGCTTCGTTAGTCTTATTTATCATCGCCTCTGCTTCATTAGTATTTCGTGAAAAGGTGAAGTTGTCGTTGGTAAAGCGTACTCTCGACGGTGGTTATGGAAAAATTTCTTTGCTTGATTACACTTGCCTAGCATGTTAAGTATAATTTGACGCAATATGGTTTACATGCGATTGTCCACGTGGGAAAGTTAATCTTCCAGCTGTTTTTTAACGAAATCAATAACTTTTTATTCATTGATGGTGTTAATGTGTAGGTCTGGAGTCTTGCCTGTACACAGTACACAAGCAATCTACACCGCTCTTACGTTGCTTCGACATCGAGTAGGAGGAGGTATCTAGATAATCAGTAAGATTGCAAGCAGTTCAACAGGCTTTCATAGGAACCATTGAGATTTTTGTCACGCCTAATTCCGTATTAGGCATTTGAAATCTTGGCTTCGTTTTTGTCTTAGGTGATTTTTCCTGCGAAGTTGAACCCCTTGTCGTGCATTGCTATACGGCTGAACACCACTTGGTCAATAAAACAGAAAATATGTGTCCACCTGTTCCTCAGATTCCCGGTGACAGCAAAGTATCGATTTCAAATATTTCGACGGCCGTTCGCAAAACACATCTGTCGACAATGTTTTTTATGAAATATATTTTTCGATGCAATTACAAAAGGGTAAAATATCCTTTACCTTTTTGGACCAATACTGTCAACGGCGCCGTCGAAAGAATATCATTTTGCACCTCCCATCATTATTACTGAAATAGTGAGAGCACAAATGCATGTAGCACTAACTAGCTCACGCTTCTTGTTTTGGACAGATATCGTGGCGACGCTGGAAAATTAGGTTTTTCCTAAATTCTTATAGCAGCAGATATGATGTTTAATTTAATGTCTTCTAGCATACCTTTTCCATAACCACGACCAGTAAAGGGCATAGCAACTCCATCAGTCTGGAACAAACTCAAGTAGACTTAAATCCTTTGGCAGCAAGTCGAGAACAAGATATTGTCGGGCTTCTATGCCAACAAACAAACTCTCCTAGTTATGATTACAACCAGCTACACATTTGAATTAGTAGAAAGCTGTGCGTGGTAAATCTCAAACGGCATAACGCCTTCGCTTTCTCAGTATCATGTTCTTATCCATTGGGAAATTTTCACACCAATTGCCGCTGAAAACCAATTTTTCTTTATCAACGAACACACCCACAAGGGTCATTGCCATAATTTGAATAAAGCTCTCAATACTGGAAGTGTTCTTACGAGCATATATTGCAAAGTTGTACTTTCAGTCTCCCTTCTGCACACACTGAATAAGGTGGTAACATTGTCATAACTCTGCCCGTTAATCATCGCGTATTGACACAATAAGACCTAGAACTCGTAACGGTGCAAGACTTATCAGTGAAGAGGTTTTTTGTTTTGTGTTCGAAAAATCTTTTACAAGGGCTTTTTCACCAGCAATTGGACAGATCTCTCACAATCTACGTTGCCCGACATGTAGTGAGCTAGCAGCTTTTGAAATACCGTTCCAAAGATATTCGAAATTCATCACTATTATTTCCAAAAGGGGAACTCGAACGTCACGACACTCCCAGCAAGATGATGCAGTAATTCCAGCGTTGTCCTCAATCTTATCGGCTTCTCCTTCAATCTCGATGATAAAGAAAAACAAAACAACAAGAATCGAAAATCCGATTCCGCTTCACATAAATGTAAAAGATTTAAATACATAGGAAAAAAATTGGCGCTGTTGAGGTAGTAGTTGTATCATTAAAAAAGAGAATACCAAACTTAATTCCAGTCTAAATTAAAGTGTAAAGAAAGCACCGCTCTGTGGTACAAAAAAAAACGAGAAGTTGTGGCGAAATACTGACACAAGAGACTACATGAAGCAATCGTTGTTTGCATGACCCCAGGAAGGACAACATCCCTGGTGCTATGCAGTAGTTTTTTGCGAAAGAAATTAAGCACAGTGATGCTGAGATATTTGCAAAACTCCGAGCAGCAGGTGTCTGCAGTGGGGAACGAACGCCCTCTTACCCTTTCTGAGGACTAACACGTTCACCACTATATTATACGGTCCTTCGTTTCGCCTGTCTCTCAGTTAGTTCTATAGATCAATGCCTGCCATAAGCAATCATCCTTCAACAAGATTGATCTGGGGTGCCCAAATCGGCAGTGAACCCAGTTAGGCTGTGGCTGTAGTCGAAAAAAATTGAGATATCACAACAGAAATAAGAAAATCGAGACAATCAACGTCAAATTTTTAGCGAGAATTAACTTACAATTAGTAGTAGACTGATTATAGTTTTGAAACGTGCATAAATATCTGCTATATGGAGAGTTAGTATATCGATTCACAAACAGCACTAAGGTGGTTACAGTGCACTGCAATACACACATCTCCCCTCGGAGCGACGACCGAGCTCACCACCCCTCAGATTTTCGAAAACTGCCGCCATACTTTCTAAGATAATAGAAACAATGACTCAATATGTATTCTTTTATTGATAAGATAATGTGAGACTTATAGTGGATTTTGTTCTGCTAACGTTTCGATGCCTTCGTCTTTTTCCGGTCCGGTCTGATCCAAGTCGATTGTCATGGTTGTGTTTTCCTCCGATGTGGGTATTCGCCATCGCACCAAGTTGAATTCAGCGGAGCGCAGTACGAATGGGATAACCTCAGTCGGCAATGGTCCTTTATAAAGGACAGTTGCAGATACCGATTGTCCGTCTATTATTGTTTGTTCTTTTCCGAATAGTCCACACGGAAGCAATCGGTATCATTATCAGGTAGTAAAAAGCGTAACAGTATCTCAAACAGCCGTTCATTATTAACCTCGTATTACCTTACAAACAAAAGAATACATGCTGACTGATTAGTCGTACTGAGGTGAAAGAAAAGCCAGTTTTTAAAATAATTTAATACATTGGTAAGCCCCGTAAGTCGTTTATAGACTAACTGCAAAACCATTCAACTCTGCGGTGCTTAACGAACGTTGAGCATCCTTAAGAGATTGAGTAACGTTGAACCCTTCACCACTCATCCTTTAACATGATACAGAACTAATGATTTAACTAGCGAAGATTTAATAGCGCGTCTGATGAGAGCGATTTGTTTTTCTTATGGCACTGAATTTACAAACAATATCTGTGGCGCTAATTAAAAACACGGATCTAAATTGTATGGCAGATTTTTATCCGATCTCTTGGTGCCAGGTGCTCCTAGTTATTTAATTGCGCACGGATCACCACTTCCGGATCCACGTTCGTACTGCGTTTTCAGCGGCGGTAAATTTCTGTATTCATCAGGTTGAAGATGAACATGCGGCACACCCCGGATGCCTGAAATATTATTCACATAAGAATTTCTGTTCTTCTCATGATCAAATTCGACAGAAGAAAGAAAACGGAATAAAATATCCGTGCAGAGTTTCCAATACTTTCTATTCCACACAACAATTAATACTGCCACTGGAAATTGACCACAATATTTTATTCAGTTGCCTGTTCTCAACTTATGTCATTTTTAAAATAAAACCTGGAAAACCAACCAATACTCCTTTCTATCTCGGTTAAATAGACCATATTTCACACGCTTCACTTACTTCTTATGTTGATAGCAAGCGTCCTTTCATCCACTGGTTCAGGCTTTTTTAGGCCGTCCAACGCATCCGAACGATTGAAAACGTTGATATACGAATCTAAAGGCTCCTACTTTTAAATTTTTCAAGAAAAGAAAATAATTTAGCGACTAGAAGAAACCGTATCCATCATATTTACGGCCAATGGGAGGAATTGGCGGCCGTCTGTACGGGTCCAGATTGCTGGCTGAGTTCTGACGAGCTCTGAGATTACTGTTCTTCTCCAATTTTGGTATGCAACAAGAGCAGCATCTATAAAACAATTCTCAGAAAAACTAGGAAAAAATAAGCCACAACGGTCAACCACCAAAATTTCTCTTTCTAAAGTACGTTCAACGACATTCACAAAGTACACCCAAATATCGTGCTATGAAAATTGCAACAGTGACCTCTAATCGATCGATCACAAAACCGCTAAATTGTGTACATGAATTTGCGAGGCACTCGGCATGTATACCAGTGCTTGAATGGTAGTGGCCAGAGGTTTATTCGCATGAACGAGCTAGCAACAGCTTCGAAGAATGAAACTGCTCTGGATGTCCAAATAAGTTGGATTTCGACGCACCCAACTAACAAGTGATTGTGAGCCTCTATCTTGTCGACCTACCACTGGCCACCATGCAAGAATCTCTAACTTTATCCATGAGCTCCAAAAGCTGTGCTCTTGGCATCATCTCGCTCGCACAGATTTTGAATACTTGACACTTCTCAAGCCTTACACGACTGCCGCTCCATGAATTTAAGGTCATAAGAACTTCAGCGGACGTCAAATGAATGCGAGTTCCACAGCCTAAATCTCACTTGGCCTCCTGTGAAGATATGAGGTTCTCCTTCCATCCGGCCTACAAGAATCACTTCACCTTATCGAATCAACACCCTCCGCAACTTTTTTGTGCCCGTTTTTAACCGAAAATGAATGCCAATCAAAACAGGACATTGAACGTAAACCAATTTTACAACAGGATGTAGCCGTAAATCAACACATCCCACAATTTGGACACATTATCGGCACTCGATCCTCCCGAACTTCTTCTTCTTCTTCTTCTTCTTCTTCTTCTTCTTCTTCTTCTTCTTCTTCACCCGTGGTTTTCCCACCTAGTAAAAGCATACTACGATAACAAATCACTGTGATAACTGCTTTACTGCAAAACGTTGTTGTGCACTTGATATTCTTAGATAGACATATTTGTGCAGCTTATCCATACATTATTTTTATAGTTTTATTTTGTTCTCACCGTAAAAGGATAAAAGGATAAAGCTCTCGGTGTTGATCAATCGCTGAGGGACGCGCCACGCATTTGAATGCATATCTGGCCTTTATAACGACTCGCGGTGGCCTACCGATGCATCGAGCCAGTGCTGCTATCCTCCCAGACAAGTCTGGTACCAATTTGCTGACCCCGGAAAGATGGAAGGCATGGAGAGTCACGGTCACGAGGATTGATCCCATATTCGTGTTCCAAGGCGCCTCTGACCACTGCGCCACACATGTTGTCACCGTACACTTTAATAATATCTGAGACTGTAAAATTAGTATTTAGCATAAATTTGTTATTTATATGGTGTAAAAATAATGCCCGATTTCAAAGCTATAATAGATAGAAAACTTCTCATCCCTCAAAGATTAAGCGATACCGTATCCCTGTGATGATTGACCGTTGCAAACGTTTTTGAGTAGTAATTGCGAAGCTAGCACTTTCTGATTTTGACAGTTACTTCGTTACACTTTTTCTCTCTTCTTTCAATTTTTCGCTTTAGGAAAAAAGACAGTGGTAAAATATTCATTATCACCATAAGCAACAATGCACTGTTATTTGGACAATTATGGTCGTCCCCTCTGTCTCTCTATCTGCCTCTCTTTATCTCTATTTCTCTCAAAAATGCTAGAGTTGGGGCACTTATATAGTCTCCCCTTCTTTTAAAATTATAGTAGTCGCCTAAATACTGTCATACATGTAGTGTCTTTCAAATCACCACGGTGCAAAACAAGTCTGAAGTCTCCACTACCTGAATGATGTTTGAAAGAACGATAATTCAGCGCTGTTCCTCACGTTTCATGTAGGATAAAGTTGGAGCGTGAAACCAAACACTACTACGGAAAAGCCGGACTCTGAGACATTTCGACTGATGTTCGATTCACGGCAGCGGAGAGAATACGTGCCTACCCTACGATTAGGCTGGGTTGACAGTCTTGCTCTCAGGAAATCCCGCAAGATCTGTCCTACCAGCCCATATCTGCGTCACGATCTCTTTGAGTTTTGTCAGTTTGAATGAAGCAGCAGCAGCAATCTACCACCCTCATTCCCTTGGATTGATAGTGATATATTAGAGCGAGCAGATCAAAACGAGACATCGTCTTGCGGTACCTTGTAGAATTGAAGATGGCGTTTTAAGGTGATATAAGCATATGCAAGCTTCTTTTCTAATTGCTTATACTTGAGCGTAGTAGTATCATAGGGTTGTAGGTAGCCTTCTTAATCCAGTCAGCTATCATGGCTAGCGTTGCTCTCGTCGAAACTTTTCAACTTCAAACGAACAGTCTGTACGCTACTAGTAACTGATCGAAGCGCGACACTGGTCATCGGCAGTTGTAGTTGCGTTGATGCGGAGCAGGGTCTGCAGAAGTGTATATTATGAAGTCTCGTGTTTCTCATATAGCTATTGCTACTTAGCTTTGACGTGACTTTCTTCGTCATACCCTCCCGCCTTATCGCAAAGGAAAAATCAATTTTGGACAAACGAGGGAAATGGGTGTATGTTCAAAATCAACATATTCAATTTTACTTCCACTTACTCTCTCTATTTTCATCGCTTTCTCTCCTATCTTTAAATTAAAATCTCATCACCTCTTTAAATTAAATCCGCCGCTATACGTGTCTGTCATTATTGGGCCATTATCCTGTTGTATCACTCTTCTAAAAACATAACCATAGTCAGAACTCTGCCCTATTTACTCTACCAAATATTTAAATTTGTCCAGATTAGATTACATGATGTTGAAAAAAAATAAGTAGAAAAAGAATGCATGTAAAGTAGATAAAGTAAGGAAATGGCACGAGTAGAGTACTGGACATACTTCTTATTCTTCACAATCCATAAGATGATAAGGCAAACAATTACAATAGTTGCTACAGCGATGACTCCGGAGACTGTATAGACTATCCAGGCATTTTCAGTGAGCAACAAATCTGAAAGCGATTTTGCTGAAGTTTTCGCCGGAAATGGAAGAAAATTTATCACTGGTGAAAAGAATTACTGCTGATGAAAACTGCGAACATCACTTGTTTCTTCAAGTTCACACGTGAGTGTTAAGTTCTCAGTCAAGTTTCTACCTGTCATTCCTTTTCTTTTCTTTCTTTTTTTTCCTTTAATACGGCCGAGAGACGGTCGAGACGAAGGACTCGCATAGTGTGGTGATGAAAGCGTTAGCTCCCGGAAAGGGTAATAGCGTATTCGGTCGCCACCGCAGACACCAGCGGTCCGGAGTTTTGCAAATATCTCAGTAGCATAATGGTTATATTTCACATAATAACCTATAATTAAAAATTAGTAGGCAGTAAATAAAGTTGACCACATTTATTCTTTCTCCTAAAGAATTCTTCAGCCTGAAAAACTGCATCGACTCAATACCCCTCACAGTGAAGCGACGAATGCAGCAAAGATGACGATCAACTGTAGCCGACGGCTCCGGCTAGAACCGTAGTTCGTCGATACTCAGCTCTTCTGGTTGGTATCTTACAAATTCCGGATGGTTACTTGATTTTAGTTCACTACTAGAAAAATTGGTCATTATGTCCCGAAATTTTCTTAAGCAAATGGGAATTTTGCCTTTCTTCCGAATATCATACAAGAGAGGAATAAAGTAACGCAAAAACTGCCTGCATCACTTCAGTCTGAAAGCCCAAAGTGCACAACATTAAGCAGCTTTTCCGTTCGAGAAAACATATGTTCGGCTTCTTTACTAGCAGATGTGGCTAACTAACTGAAATAACTACAGCTAGTTGGTTAGAAAAATGCTTGGTAAGTAGAGAAATACAAAAAAAAACCTACTCAGTATTGAACAATACTGTAAGAAACTGCCACCACTTGTTTGCTCACAATACTCTGTGCCATTCGGAGGGAGTACTGAATCCAGTGATGTACTAATTTTCCTTTTTACTTCAGTCTTTATGACTATATTTCACAACCTAACCTATAGGCTTAGGAATTGAAACCATTTCTTTACTGTGATTCTGATGGACCCTGTCTTCCTTTTTCAAATGAAAATATTCATGAGGCTAAGAAATGCTGAAAGAAAATAACAAACAGCTCCACAGATATCAGGGTGCTGTGGTAAGTGAAATAGAATTTTGCGTGGTAGCATCAAGATCACCTTCTAGAAAATGAGGCACGTGTTTATTGCACATTCTGCTACACTTTAAGCATCCGTCGAGAAAATCGGGAACTTATTCAGCGTTATCTCTGCTTCAGTTGCTACTTTTACATAGCTCAAACAATGTTGTAGGGAAAAGAACGCTAAAGAGCCACATTTTCGGGACACAGATGTTTTTGCGCTGTTGTACCAATGATTCACTACTTGCGATGCTATTTCGTCTTAAATATAGTTTCAGAATGCTTTCGGACCAGAGAGGTAGCCATAATGACAATCAGGCGGTACTGGAAGTAGAATAATTATATTTTCGGCAGTATGATATGATACAAGAAGTTAAATCTCTTATTATGAAGCTTCACTTAGTCCTTCAATCATAATTATTTAAAATGCCGAAAATTATGTTCGTCTAATAAAACAGATAAGAGGGCAGCTTGCAAGGACTAATTTCTTACTCTTTAAGGGCTCTGCAAAACTTCCATCCATTGGTAAAGGAAAGCGTTTTGGTTGCATGATACAAAAGCAACACGTTGTTTGCCTAAATGATATTTGTCTGTCCGAAAATGTTATATTGACTAACTCTAGAACTTTCTAAGTTCTTTTCAATTAGGCCTTCTCTCGTACGAGCTCTTGATGGCAGAATATGAAAGTTCATCTGATGTATGTCTAAAGAGGAAGCAGATCTGTTACCTTCCGATCTCAATGGTTTACAACACTATGAAGATGTCCTACATTTCCCTTCTTTCTGTCATTGCTCCAGATGACATCTAGTAGATGGGAAGAGCTGAACATCCTACCACATACAATAGCCAGCGATCTGATATGGTAAGAAGCTTAACACGCCATTGCAAGTGGAAAATACGCCGAGACAACATGAAATACCTTCTCGGTGCCCACACGGAAAAGTCGATAACTAATAGATTAGAAAGTCAGGCAAATGATTGTTGTTAACCGCTGGCGTCATTAGATGAAGTTAATTCGAAATCTCAGAAGAGGTGGACCCAATAAGAAATGGCCGGGTCACTACGTACATAGCAGACGTCATTTCAAACGAACTATATCCGGTAATAACTAAACCCACAGAAAATAAGATAGAGAAAATAGAATTCCAAATTTTAATCTTACTACCCAATCCCATCTTGTTCGGTGAATGGCAGCAAACAGAAGCATTAGCCGAATTTGAACCGCTGTTTTCGGCCACCGTACACAGTCAGGATGGGATGCCATCTTAAAGAAGTTGTCACTGCGATTTTGCCAGCAGACATAATCCCGATTACAAAAAAAATTGTGCGAAAAGGACATTGCAAGGATGGAAGACTAAAGAATTTAGTGAGGCAAAAAGAGACCACCGGCTGCAAATCACCAGGGAAAATACCCTTTATGAAAAGAAAATAACAGCTTGGTGAAAACACAGTTTCGTTGAAAATTTTCATCCTTTCTAAAACTATTGATGGAGCTAGGGGTGGATAGCACATTGGTAGTGATGTTTTTCATCACGAGCATGGTGCTAGTTCGATTCCTCTGCGAGCTAACCAGGCCTCCCATCTCTCCGAGGTCGGGAAATTGTTACCGGACTTGTCTGAGAAAAAATCACTTTCTGCAGTTCAGCTGGAAACGCTCCAGCCCGGCCATCTCATGACTCTAGGGAGAATTGCTCGACCAGCATTCTACGACATTCAAGATGAAATGAAAAAACCTCAAGCAGGAACCGAAGCCACAAGTAAAAACTTGGAGGATCTTCGTGGAGAATGAGTGTGAGGAAACGAATCGAATATAAGAAATGCTGAGATCCGCACCGCAGACGTGAAGATGGGTCATATAGAGTGAAAATGGAAAAAATCGATCAAGCTAGAACATTCTTGGAGTAACTTAGTGGCATGAAAAAAAGTGAATTAGGGAATGCATTAGAAAATAAACAATTTAATGAAAGAAAATCACGTGAACAAAAAGGCGCATGGCAGTATTTCTAAGTAAGGAAACCACTTATGATGTACACCTTGGAGTTTCGATAAAAATAGAAAACACTCAAATGGGGAGCGTAGTGGCGGACAGCAATCTACCAATGGAAACATCGAATTAAGGTTGCGGTCACAATTCGATACAGAGGAATAATGGCGAGTTGTAAAGCATTGGGAAGATTTTTTTTGCATTTTTTAAAAACTTATGAGACTTGGCGTAAAAGAACATACCCATTGCGGCGATAAACCTCTCGGAAATCTTGTGACTTTGAGTGGTTACGGTTGGGTTGACAGCAATTCCTGTGACGTTGCTGGCGTCTGTTTCAGCAGGCAGACGATCGGGCGTCAGAAAAATATCGTCAGCAATGAATGTTGAAGTTGATGGAGAAGGCAACTCGTCCGCGATGACGTCTTCGAAGAGCGTACGGTTAGCATCCATCTGAAACTGCTTCAATCAACGGCGCGAGGAGAAGACTAGAGATTACGTAGAACGCATCAACTGAAAAGCTTTTTTTTCTCCATGGCAACCATGAGAAGAAAATAGAACAACGTAATTACTAATCATGCAATCCACTAAAAACGAATAAATTCGTAACAGGCCTCTACGGCCAACAACGACTTCAGTAAAAAAGGACTGAGCGGATGATCAGGATCCCAGTGCTTCGCATTTCCAGTCTACGATTCCTAAAGAACCACCAAGTGATATTCCAATGTTTTTTAAAGTTCAAATTTTATTTTCGGCCTGCACCTTTGTGAAAAAAAACGCGTCCGTAAGAGATTAGAAAATGGGTATCTCCTAAAGAGAAGAATTTTATTCGACTCCACTTTATACGCGGTCAATTTTCTCAAACAGAGAACCAGCTGCAAGCGTTGGACCAAGAAAACTGTCAAAGTGGCTTCATCTACAAAAAGTGAATAACCGAAAGCGAAAAACGTGTTAAAGACTTTTCCCAATGTGAACTAAAGTGTGAAAAAAGTAAAGGAAATAAAACTCATGAATATTTTTACTTTATTTTGATGTTTTTAAGAAAGTGATTTATGTAGTTTTCCCCGAGAGTGTAAACTGAACCCTCGCATTCTCAAAACGAAAAGGAGCGCATTCGCTAGCTACTGTACTACTGTGGTCGCAAGGAAATTTATTTAGTGGTATTTTATTTCACATGACCCGTCACCACATCTACCATGTGGATACCAGCATTCATCGTGCACGACGCACTTCGAAAATTTTGCCTGTTGTTGTGGCTGCTGCTTGGACATTTCTTCTTTACGAACGATGTAGACTGCTGGTCAAGCCGGTTCTCTTTACAATCTCGGCCAGGTTAAGGAGTTCCCACGTGGGTTGGAGGAGGGTGTTAGGTAAGGGGTACGACATCTGCCTTGCTTCCTAATGAACTGGATCACTAACCATTGCGCTAAATGTTAAGGCTTCGACTCCTCGAATCGTCCTTTTATGCAAATGTTTTTTTCATGCAATATCGGCAATGTATTATGTACACCAACCATGAAAACAAAGCCCTATATAAATTCAAAAAATAAATTGATATTTCCATTCAGAAAAGAAAAATCTCTGCAACCTCTACCAAAGAAAAGGACCAAATCTGCTTTCTCCTCCGTCTAAGCACGATATTTACTTACTTACATATTTGGACGGCTCGACTTCACTGGCTGTGTGGACCCCAGCATAATTTCCATTATTTCGCGATTTTGCTGGCCTAGCTATCGTGGTTCCCTGGAGTCCCGAGGTCAAAGACTGCCCTAGGTCGCCAACAACACAGGCAATTGCCGACTTTGTGGATCAGAGGCAGATTTGCCAACATACGACTAGTTTGAATACCAGTACGGTGGTGGACTCTGGTATTGGTTTACTCTTAGTTGGGCTTCCTTATGGAAACGCCGGACTTCTTCTCAACTTGGAGACCCCGCCGGGGATGAATCCCCCGCTGTACATCGCAGCCCGACACCCAGGACCACCTCTCAGCGACGATGAGGCGGTAAGCCATTGGGAGGAAGCCTGATATTTACACGTACTAATTGAATTTGTTGTAACAAGGCACAAAAATAAAAAGTTAAATTGTATTTTTATACTAAACATGCAAGCTTTTGTTTTCACTAAAATTAAGTTGATTAGAAAACACAATCTCGTGGGAGATTCCTTTTATTTCTTTCCTAGTCATTGCTTCTCATCAATGGTTTACCATACATTCTATTTATTATATCAGAAGAAAATCCAGAGCAACTAAGACGCGTCGATAGGGAGTAGATAAAGAAAACTAATCTTCGACTGGCTTAATAGAATTGTTTCGTGCGTAAATAATAGTTTAAAGAAACGCCCCATTGGTTACCTATTATAGCCTTCCACAGTAAAAAAAAAGCCAAATTCTTTACTTAAAAAATGAATAGGCAATGAAATAATTGTTCATTGATTCATTATTGCAAAACAATGCTAGTCACGTTGCCTAACGTCTCATTTTCACCTGAAATCATTCCCCCTAACAAAAGGTGGGCTTAGATTCATTTAAGTTACCTAGATGTGGTCAAAATAAATGGTGAATCGTTCGAGGTTGCTCAACCCCTGAGTGATGCTCCATGCATTCGACTCCATTCGTAGCATCGTATAGGTGATTGATTAAGTGCATACCTGCCTACGCATTAATTTGCAGAGACCTATCGGCGATATATCAATTCAGTGATGCTATTCTCCCTGATAAGTCTGCTATCAATTTCCCAACTTCGAAAACATGAAGGGCTTGGTTTGTCGGGAGTACAGGGTTGAACCAATAAGCATGTGTGCGTCGTAGGACACCTCTGACCAGTGCGCTACATACCCACTCTTCAGATTTAAGTCCGATAAAAATCCGAATAAGAGAAAAATTAAACTTCGAGAAAATGTTCTTGTACTTAAAATATTCTAGATGAAAAAAGTGGATAGAAGAAAGAAAGGAAGAAGACAAATTGAGAGTACATGTGATGATTATGAATTACAAAGATAAAGAATAATCTTCATAAACAATGGTAAATCAAGAGCTATAAATGGAAGCGTGAGGCTAGGCAAATCCATAATTTTGGCAGTGAATGAACCAATTTTGTGAAATTAGTCAACCTATGCAGAATCTTAGCACTCTTCACAAACGACTGCGGAAAATTTGGAGATGCTTGACTGTGCCGGCGTTTATGATTTATTGCCATGATTTTGACGTCGTTTATTGAAAAACGGGAAAAATCCTACTGCGGGCTATATCCATGCGCTATGGAACTAAAATGTTAGCCTCCACCAGCAGCGGCAGCGAAATTCTTCAATCGCCCTGGTAGAAAATAAATTGATGCCACGAACAGAAAAGGATCCAAGAAACTAATTAATAGCATCGTATATCAAGCACTTGATATCTTACTTAACTGATCAACGTCCATCATTCTTGTGTTCTTTTATCATGAACAGTAAATTCGGTGGTAAAAATCATCAATCCTTTACGAAATTTTCTGAACTTAAAGGATTTATCCTCTAAGGATAAAGCGCTCGGTGTCTATACATCCTTGATAAATGCGCCTTACATTCCAATCAATTCACAGCATCGTTGAATCAATTCACAGCATCGTTGATGTGATTGGAATGTAAGGCGCATTTATCAAGGATGTATAGACACCGAGCGCTTTATCCTTAGAGGATAAATCCTTTAAGTTCAGAAAACGTCGTAAAGGATTGATGATTTTTACCACCGAATTTACTGTTCATGATAAAAGAACACAAGAATGATGGACGTTGACCAGTTAAGTAAGATATCAAGTGCTTGATTTACGATGCTATTAATGAGTTTCTTGGATCCTTTTCTGTGCGTAGCATCACTTTATTTTCTACCAGGGCGATAGAAGACTTTCGAATGTGTTCTTGGTCTTACACAATAACTTGTAGTACCCAACCGATGTTGCACTAAGTTAGTGTTTTTGACCGAGATTTGACTTGTGCGAGTTTGACATCCTCACGGAGATAAAGTGTCTGTTTATCCTAGAACAATCGGTCCAAGAAGCGACGACAGGCGTATTACATAGCTCTCTTACCACTACACCACACGTGCTCCAGTATTTCAGACAGATATTTTATTATTTCATTACATCGTTTATCACCATATGTATCACATTGTGCGATATCAGCACCTCGCATTCGAATTGTTTCCTTACATCCATCATTCGTAAAGATCTAGGAGCTTTTTTCCTTAAGCTTCGGCTATTTCTTGAGGATTTCTTCGGCTTCGTCACGAATGTCCCTGAATGTTAGTCGAGCCGCTTCTCTCTGGAAACTTGGGATGGCCGCGCAGGCACGTGGAACGGAGTGAGTGTGCTTGTCCCAGACAAGTTAAAGACCAAATTCCAAACGCGGATTGATAGCAGGCTTGGTGAGCCCGCGGAAGCTCGAACCGGAACTTCGATGAACGTTCAATTTAAGGGTTAAAAAAGGGCTTCAAATTGTAGACTTTTCTATGTGGAATGTAACAATATCCTGTGCTGAACATATCGATTCTCTGCGTTAAGCGGTGTTCGCAGTAGCAAATGTGGACGTTTCATATGAAAAAAGAGTTACAATGAATGACAAAATTTATGACCAATGCAAAATTAAGAAGTGTAAAAGTCAACTAAAATGCATGGTCGATCTGAGCCAGTATCCTTTTATAACGTCAAACAGTGTAGTCGATAACACTAGTAGAATGTAGGAAGGAATAGCTTGAAAAAATAAGGAAATAATTTGTGCATCATTTTCATTCTTATCAGAATGCCATCGAATAGATTCATGTCAGCCATTTTTTAAAGTGTTCTATGCTTTCTTAGCTAATGAAGAGTATCTCAGCCTATCCTAGATGATTTCTTATGCATCAGGCTTTCTTACAAGTAATTCCTAAAAATTGCTATGAATGAAAGATCAGAAAGAACTAGGTGGTTGAGATAAGATGCTGTTCAAAGGCGAGTATTAGCGAGCACGCCGATAAGCATCAAAAGTAAAAAACGCGAGAAAGGAGAAATTTTCGAAACGTGTCAACATATGCTATGGCCTCTGAACGTGACGGTGATGAGTTGTATAGCAGTGTAACAAGCATAAGTAAAGAGAGTGAGAGGGTTGGGGTGCGCGAGGAAAACAAGTAGCCTTCGGCTGCAACCAGCCATCGCCTGGATTTTTGATGGGTGCAAAAAGCCTCTGGAGAACCTAAGCGAATGCTAAAGACGTGGACGAACGGCCAAGGCTAGTTATTAACTGGAAAGAAACTCACACAGCGCCTCATATAGACGTTGAATTAGTTTTTAACGAATATCTGGGCAGCATAGATAATCGTTCCCTGCTCAAATTGTATTATTAGTACATCTCCCAAGGTCTTAAAAGGCTAAATCTAATTTCATCTGAAACAAGAGAAAAATCGATGAACTGAGATGAGCGTCACCTAGATAGAAATGTCA